GTTAAAGAAACGGCCACCTTAACAAACCAAGAGGAATTTTTTTACATATATTTCCTTTGAGTCAGTTTTTCAGTAAAAGGTGGATAGCGCTATTTATTAAATAAATTACCATCCACTGGACAGCTAGCGCAATTGGTTTCTCTATACTTATCTGGTTGATAGCAATATCCATCTTGAACAACCAGGATTTTCATAAAAATGGCTGATATAGGATGGTTTATAAATGGAACACTTTCCGTTAACTGCATAGTTTATGAAACAAATACATCGATGTTTTGGGCGCGGGGGAGTACAACTTACGCTGTAAATAACTGTTTTTCCAGTTTTATCTACTGCTTTATTGGTTAGATTAAATATAATCTGCTATTGTGTATTCAAGATTTGCGTTTGTGGTACACACCGTTGGTACATACATTCAAGTCATCCCTCGGCCTTTGGTTTTTCGAAAAATTGATGTCACGTGTTTTACAAGGTCATTTTTATCTGTAAGAACCAATTTCGGGAAACACTAGAGGCTTACGAGTCTCCTAATGCTCCTCGTACTATTAAAACAACAGTTTTTAAATCATGTTACACGGTCAAAGAAATACCTGAATGTTTCTTTAACTTAGCCGCACACACACACACACAAAATTCTACACCTTAGTAACAACTTTATTACTCCCTTTCTGCGGTAGCCTTACAACCTGTTTTATATTATTCTAGCAGATAAGTTTGATAATTTCATTTCTGAACTGATAGATCTTAAGCAATGCACACCTCGCTCACAATCCGCAAGTTTAAAGTGAAAGAAATGATCAGGAGTGCCTGTAGTTATTTGTTTTACTCAGTGGTTTTCACTGAAAAAGTTTCGTCATCAACTTTCACGGTTCAACTTAGATGGACGCTTGTGCAACGTAGAGCTTACTGAGCCTTCGTAAATATTAACTAAATGAGATTTTCAAACACTATCTGATAGTCTTTAAAAGGTCAGCGCGATTACAATAAGATTTAAAGCAAAGTACCCTTTCAGTATTACACCTGATTACACCCTATTTAACGTTCCTCGTATACATGGTTGTTTTACCGAAAGAAACGACATAATTGAATCTTAAAAATCCCTTGGACGTATCTTCATCTCAGATCTCTTCACAGAGTAGTAGTTTTTTTTCCAATGGTACCACGCCATTCCTTGACCATTGACCTTGCCGTGAAGATACAAACCATTCAGGTTGGAGTGGTAACAACTATTGTACCACCAGGCGCCTTTATATTTCACTGCACAGTTACCACTGTTGCTGTCATTATCACGATCTTTGGTGATAAATGGATATCCTCTGTGAGACGCAAGGGAATCTCCAGCGGTACCTTAAAAAAACGATCAGACAACAACAACACCGTGAATTATATCGTCCTAGTTTTTCATGAGTTGCTCGAAGGTGTTTGATTAAGCGGTTTGCTGTCCAAGCAAAGAAATCATCTGTTCAATATATGATCTAGATAATAGTTTTACGGGCTATAGAAGTTATAAAACGCTTGTTATCTCATACTGATACAGCAGGTTAGACCAAATTAATTGTAGTATAACATGTAGCTCGGGTAGGGCACCGAGGCTTTTCTAGTAGGGAGGAGGGGGCAGGGGAACGACGAAGGTGAGGAGGCCTCAAACTCAGATTACAATGTATGGTGCGTATTTACCAAAAATCGTCTTGAGCTTCATGTTCGATTTATTAGGTTTGAAATCACAAACCGGGCTGTCATAACGTACCTGAATAGCTTCCCAAACTTAGTTTATATTTCACCCTCTCGCTCGTCACAGCGAATGAGCTGTACTCTGCAAATGCTGTTTTTCCTTGCACGTCTTCCAAGTCCACGCGAAGCTTGTAACTGCCGCTTACAGTCAGGCGATGAATCTTGTCCAGCCCAAGCCAAAACTCACCGTTCAGATTACCGAAGCCCTGTTTGTAGTCCTTCCAACCACGGTAAAAATCCACAGAGCCATCTTGCCTCTTCTGGAACACTGTCCAACCTCCGCCAGCAGTTTTCTGATCACAGTACACTTCAAATTCGCCCAAACCATCAGGATCGATTTTGTACACTCCATTGATCTTTATACCGAACTGGTAAACTTCGGCACAGTTCTTGTAACCTGACAAAAGAACAGTCGGTGAAACGTGAGCAACACTTTTCAAACATTACATCCAGTTTTTCTTGGAAAGAGCAAATTTTATTATCTAAATGAAGCTCGGATTCTTGTTATGATTTTCTCACGAAACTACGACTTACTTTACTGTTTACGGATTGGACTCTGCTTTCCCACACTAGGAAAAGACTAGCGGACAGAACTGATAATTCTAAAAAGAAAACGACCCTGGCTGAATAGGGTCTAAAATACGAACTCAGTGCATTTTGCCAAAGAGGGCCGTTTATGAAGTGTCGTAACCCGAGGCTGGTGTTAAGCCGAGAGCGACTTTTTTTTTCACCAAAAAAGCGCACAGTAGAGCTTTGAGAAATACATTCATCGTGTACGATCGTTCGAGTATCACGTCCACAGTAGCGCTAAAGAAAGAATCAATTTCTTATAGTGGCTGATAATTCTTTACGGCTTTCTTGAACTTCCCTTTCAGTCTCATGCTCTTTTGAAAACGGGATTTTTCTCGTTGGCTCATTATTGACAGCGTGTTTTGAACACATTTTTTTCGCCAATCACACTGAACAATCTTGTGTAAGGACAAAGCAGTTGTTGTTTCATGATGATGTTATTATAATTCTATTTGTTTTGTTAGGCAAACTTTATGTAGTCAAGTGAAATCAAAACAACACGATTTATAAATTGTTCAGTCTTTTACAAAACCTGATTTTTTTTTTCTGGCTTTGAAAACTTCCCAGTGTGCCATGAACTGTTATCAGTTCCATGCACATTCAATCCTTTGTAACATTTTTTTTATTTCCTAATTTCTTTGTTAACATAATACAGACACAGACATGTTATTTTCGTCGCAGGTTTGAATCCAGCAACCGATATTGTAAGAACTTCCAATGCTACTGCTTTTTTTCGTTTGTTTGTTGTTTTTTTTAACAGCTGTTTTGAGTCTAAAAATCGTAATTGAACAAGAACTCAGTTGTGTGATTGTAAAGTGATAACCGGTAAACAGAGTCGAGACTATGCACTGCACCTCAGTCGCCGCTACGTCGATATTTATTTATTGCATTCATGTTGAATTGTAAACTACTTCATTTTAGTTTATTCACTCAAGCGTTACAGAGTGTCACATTATCTTTTTTAATTTGTGCGAATTTACACTTAACGGCCTCTGATGTGGCTTCGCGGGNTTTATATGACTCAATTAGTGTTCTGTTGTGTCACCTGATAGGGTGACATGCATGTGATAAACATATCCTTTTTTCAGACAAAAAATAAACTTAAAGAGTAAGTGGATGTGAGGCACAAACCTGGTCCCCACGTTTCTGTGTAATCTCGTCTCCAGGGCTTTTTCCCAAAGAAAAGGGAAAAGCCCTGGGTCAGACAGCCTGTTCCAGGCGATCAGATTGTGTGGACGGCGCAGAGAAGGTGTGAGCAGGAAAAAAAAACAGCCTCACTTTCTCCTTTTTTTCCCACTCTCTCACTTCGCACTGCACTCCGCTATCTAACCGTTGGAGCTTCCAACAAGCTACTCTGGGGTAGCCTCCCACACAGACGTACTTAGCGGTTCGTCACGCGTTGGGGAGGATTGCGTGACGAGCCAAAAGAACTTCTTCGTGGAAGGCTAACTCTGGGGACGTGGTTGTGGTTTGAAGGTTTCTACTGTCCTGGTGTAATCTAAAAATTTCTAATATCGCATCTGAAGGAAGCTATATAAGTTGTTCTCTTTTTAGGGTAGCATTTTGATGACAACTTTTCCTCTCTTTTCTTGTCAGTTTTCACAAAGGGGATCTTTTTCGTCCCTACACTCCCGCCAGCTATGTGCCGCCCTTTCGGTCGAACTCATGCCCTCCGCAGAATGATTCCAGGCATGGTTACCCTGATCGTCCAAGATCCAATCCGGGTACACCTGTATCGTCACGTGGTAATCATGATCCAAGACGACAGATCTATGACCTCACAGAAATCGCGCTCCACAGTTCAACTCAGGGGGCTACCATGGTAACCAATCACATTACAATTGAGGGGGTTAGCAAGGTAATAGATCCCAGTACAACTCCAGCAGTTACCAAGGAAACTAGTCACAATTAAACGCGTACTCTCGGGACCTGGGTCGAGTCAATCTCAGTACTCTCGCAGTAGCTATCAACATTCGTCACGTGACCCTAGACAGCAGCAGCAGCATTAGAATCGACAAGGACCTCCCAACAGGGTAAGTTAAACGATCAAAAACCTTATTCTCCCAAGTAAGGAAGCGATGCCGTACAAGAGTACGCGAAATCTTCTTGCTTTTTTATTTAGTTAGGTAACGTCCTCTCTTTCTGTTTTTCGTTATTGCAAGGATCTATTTCGTAAATGGTCGCTCCTACCCTTAATTCAAATGTCATTCCTTTGTTTCCCTCTTACCGTTACAACTGCACCATTTTGCTGAACTTTCTTGCTTGGCTGCAAATGATTTGTCATTTTGGGATGAACATATGTACTATCAGGTCACCAGAAACATTTATTCTGTAGATCTTGTGCTCAAAAATGATTACCTTTCTTGGTATTTGATCTGTCCGTTCTCTCTTTCGGCTTTCTGTATGGCAAGTACCCGTTTAAATTAATTTTTATCGGTTTTAATTTTTATATGCCTTGCAGTTCAGTTATCCCGGATGCTCTTTAAGCGTATTACCGCGCATGCGCTATTAAATTGACAACTTGTTAATCGTGGTTTTGTTTGTACCTCAGGATGATCGTCGCCATTCGTACCCGCTTTCCAATTACCGTTAAAGACCGTATTAAGATGACCGTGACATCCTCAATTTTAACACCCCAGTTGAGGTACCACAGGATAACCAACACAGGCGTAAAGCACCAGGGACGGATAACTGTGCGGGGCGTGAGATCCATGAGACTGTCACGTGTTCTCGTTAAGTTATCATGNACAGATCTATGACCTCACAGAAATCGCGCTCCACAGTTCAACTCAGGGGGCTACCATGGTAACCAATCACATTACAATTGAGGGGGTTAGCAAGGTAATAGATCCCAGTACAACTCCAGCAGTTACCAAGGAAACTAGTCACAATTAAACGCGTACTCTCGGGACCTGGGTCGAGTCAATCTCAGTACTCTCGCAGTAGCTATCAACATTCGTCACGTGACCCTAGACAGCAGCAGCAGCATTACAATCGACAAGGACCTCCCAACAGGGTAAGTTAAACGATCAAAAACCTTATTCTCCCAAGTAAGGAAGCGATGCCGTACAAGAGTACGCGAAATCTTCTTGCTTTTTTATTTAGTTAGGTAACGTCCTCTCTTTCTGTTTTTCGTTATTGCAAGGATCTATTTCGTAAATGGTCGCTCCTACCCTTAATTCAAATGTCATTCCTTTGTTTCCCTCTTACCGTTACAACTGCACCATTTTGCTGAACTTTCTTGCTTGGCTGCAAATGATTTGTCATTTTGGGATGAACATATGTACTATCAGGTCACCAGAAACATTTATTCTGTAGATCTTGTGCTCAAAAATGATTACCTTTCTTGGTATTTGATCTGTCCGTTCTCTCTTTCGGCTTTCTGTATGGCAAGTACCCGTTTAAATTAATTTTTATCGGTTTTAATTTTTATATGCCTTGCAGTTCAGTTATCCCGGATGCTCTTTAAGCGTATTACCGCGCATGCGCTATTAAATTGACAACTTGTTAATCGTGGTTTTGTTTGTACCTCAGGATGATCGTCGCCATTCGTACCCGCTTTCCAATTACCGTTAAAGACCGTATTAAGATGACCGTGACATCCTCAATTTTAACACCCCAGTTGAGGTACCACAGGATAACCAACACAGGCGTAAAGCACCAGGGACGGATAACTGTGCGGGGCGTGAGATCCATGAGACTGTCACGTGTTCTCGTTAAGTTATCATGGTTGCTTAAAACAGTTAAATGAGTACTTATGGCTTGTAATTTATCACATGATCGGTTTTATTCGTTTCTTATTTGACCTGGAGTCAAATTATTTCGGTCGCCTCCGAAGAAATGAAGAAATTAAAGTGGTTTAAAAATTGCTGAGCAATTTTCTGTGAAAATTGCAAGTTAACAACTTCTTTTCACTTGGAACATTGTTTTTTTGTTTTCTTGGAACATTGTTTCCGTTAACTACAACAATTTGTGAATAAGACCCACCGATGTTTTAGGTGGGAGTACAACTTGCGTTGTAATGAACTGTTTTCGAGTTTTATCTACTGCTTTATTGGTTGGATTAAATATACTCTGCTATTGTGTATTCAAGATTTGCGTTTGTTGTACACACGATGGAACAAACATTCAAGTAATCCCTCGGCCTTTGGTTTTTCAAAAAATTGATGTCACGTGTTTGAAAAGGTCATGATTTTTATCTGTAAGACCCAATTTCGGGAAACACTAGAGGCTTACGAGTCTCCTAATGCTCCTCGTACTATTAAAACAACAGTTTTTAAATCATGTTACACAGTCAAAGAAATACCTGAATGTTACTTTAACTTAGCCACACACACACAAAATTCTACACCTTAGGAACAACTTTATTACTCCCTTTCTGCGGTAGCCTTACAACCTTTTTTATATTATTCTAGCTGATAAGTTTGATAGTTTCATTTCTGAACTGATAGATATCAAGCAATGCACACCTTGCTCACAATCCGCAAGTTTAAAGTGAAAGAAATGATCAGGAGTGCCTGTAGTTATTTGTTTTACTCAGTGGATTTCACTGAAAAAGTTTCGTCATCAACTTTCACGGTTCAACTTACATGGACCCTTGTGCAACGTAGAGCTTACTGAGCCTTCGTAAATGTTAAGTGAACTAGATGAGATTTTCAACCATTATCTGATAGTCTGGAAAAGCTCAGCGCGATTACAATAAGATTTAAGGCAAAGTACCCTTTCAGCATTATTACACGCTATTTAACGTCCCTCGTATACTTGGTTGTTTTACCGAAAGAAACGACATAATTGAATCTTAAAAATCCCTTGGACGTATCTTCATCTCAGATTTCTTTACAGAGTAGCTGTTCTTTTTCCACTTGTACCACACCATTCCTTGATCATTGTCCTTCCCGTGAAGATACAAACCATTCAGATTGGAGCTGTAGCAGCTGTAGTACCACCAGGCGCCTTTATATTGCACGGCACAGTTAGTACTTCCGCTGCTGTCATTATCACGATCTTTGGTGGAGAATGGATATCCTCTGTGAGGACCAAGGGAATCTCCAGCGGTACCTTAAGAAAAAGATGAATTATAGTGAATTATATCGTCCTAGGTTTTCATGAGTTGCTGGCAAGGTGTTTGATTAAGCGGTTTGCTGTCCAAGCAAAGTAATCATCTGTTCAATATGATCTAGATAATAGTTTTACGAGCTATAGAAGTTATAAAACGCTCGTTTTCTCATACTGATACAGCAGGTTTGGCCGAATTAATTGCATTATAACATGCAGCTTGGGTAGGGCAGCGAGGCTCTTCTAGTAGGGAGGAAGGAGTGTTGGATTTATTACTTGAAATCACAAACCGGGGTGACGTTTCATAACGTACCTGAGTAACTTCCCAAACTTAGTTTGTATTTTACCCTCTCACTCGTGACAGCGAATGAGCTGTACTCTGCAAATGCTGTACTGCCTTGAAGATCTTCCAAGTCCACGCGAAGCTTGTAACTGCCGCTTACAGTCAGACGATGAATCTTGTCCAATCCGAGCCAAAACTCGCCGTTCAGATTCCCGAATCCCCTTTTGTAGTCATCCCAAGGGCGGTAAAAATCCACAGAGCCATCTTGCCTCTTCTGGAACACGGTCCAACCTCCGCCAGCAGTTTTCTGATCACAGTACACTTCAAATTCGCCCAAACCATCAGGATTGATTTTGTACACTCCATTGATCTTTACACCGAACTGGTAAATTTCGGCACAGTTCTTGTAAACTGAAAATAGAACGGCTAGTGTAACGCTTACGACTACTGGAAAGATTCGTGTGAATTTCCGCACGAGTTTTGTACTAGTGATATGATGAGATGACTGTCTTATATTCAACCTTATTGGATACTTATACGCAATTTTATGAACAGCTTATTATTTTCTTGCTGATGGTTTTGGGCTCTTCTTTTCCACAGTGGATATGGAATAGTGGGCTTTACTTACTCATCCTAAAGTTTAAAACGACCCTCGTTGAACCGGGGCTAATATAGACCAATATAAGATGAATGTACGCACTCATTGGCACGTACTTCGCTTGCCCAGCAGCGGGTAGTCCGTTTAAGTCGTAAAACCTCTTTGCTGCTGTTAAGCCGTGAACCGAAACACAAGTGATCAATCTTTTGCAGACGATAAGCGCGCTTAAAAGAAAGTACTGAATCGCTAGGATCAGAGCGCTACAAGACAGTGAAAAGAGGGATGTTCAAAGAAATACCTTTGCCGCTAGAACCGCCACCACCAGTTCGGTTTTCTTTGAGCGCCTTGATTTCTTCTCTGATTTCGGCCAGTTGTTGTTCGATCTTCTTAGTATTCGGTCCGGCATAAAAGTAGTTGTTTACGTTACACTGTGGTTTTCTAGCATCAGTACCACTTTTTGTGGGGACCGCTGATTTTGCAATGGCCTTCACCAAAAAAGCGCACAGTAGAGCTTTGAGGAAAAAATTCATTGTGTTCGACCGTTTCAGTATCACGTCTAACACTCAAGAAGGAATCAAATTGATAACTCTTTAGTACTTTCTTAAACTTCCTCTTCAGTCCTGCTCATGCTCTTTTGAAAACGGGATTTTTCTCGCAAGCTTATTAATGACCGTGTTTTATGATCACTTTTTTTCGCCAATCACATCGGAGGGATCGTAAGTAACGACAAATCAGGTGTTAGTGTTTGATGTGATTGTCAAGTGGAATCAAAACACAATGTTTTGTTAATTTTTCAGTCTTTTACATTTCCAAATCTTTCCAGTGAACCATAGACTATGTCAGTCCCGTGGACATTTAATCCTTATTTTATGAATTTCCTAATTTCTATGTTAACATAACGCAGACGGAGACATATTATTTTCATTGCAGTTTTGAATCAAACACTCGTCATTGTAAGAAATTCCAATAACACTGTTTTGTCTCTTATCACAGATGAACCGCTGCAGTTTGCTAATCGCAATTAATCGAGAACTTGTGCGATTGTAAATTGATAACTGGTATACAGAAAGATATGCCACATCAGTCGCCGCCATGTCAATATTTATAAGTCAGAGTCATTACTCATGTTGAATTTTAAACTACTTACAATTTCATGCGTTACAGCAATTTCATGCGTTACAGAGTAACGCATTACCTTGTTTATTTTGTGCGAATTGATAACCTCGTCTCAACTACATTTATAATGTGGCCTGAGACCTTCCTGGATTCGTCTCCTTCAGGGGTACTTTCTAATCTTCCATGTCATTTTAATCAGTTTTTTTTTTATCTTTTCCAAGGTTTTATAGAATTAGCTTTCCAGAGGAAAACAAAACGAAGTGCTTAACTGCAAAACAATGTCCACCAGGAAGCCCTCACTTATTGTTTCCTAGGCCAAAGCCATGTTACAAGCTCAGAATTTACACGGTCATAGAAAACTACAGGGGTGGATCCAGAAAATTCAGAAGGGGAGGCCGGGACACTTGCCAGCGATTTAGACCTTCCATTATACTGAGAATAGGTCATATTACAGTTATGAATGGAAGCGAGGCTGGCGGTGACCTTGAATATGGACCCCCAGTCCTTTGACCACCTCTGTGGACCTAATCCATGGACCTCCACGTGGACCCGGTCCATGGACTACACCCGTGGACCACCCTTAATTTATGTGGATGAATTTTTACCAGAGGTCTAAACGAATTCTAGGAACCTTAAATGGATAAAACTATGTCGATTTTTAGTATATTATCAGGATTTAAGGCTCCTCATATTATACACTTGTTCAAATTTTTCCTGAATTCGATTCGTGGGTTTGATTTAGTCTGGAAAGAGAAACAATAATTGAAGGGGACAAGTGGAGAGGTAGGGAGGAAGTAGTCTCCTATTCAGCTCTTTTTTCTGTTGTCGTATTGCGCGAGGATCGACACAAAAAATGGGCTGCGTGGCAGAGTAGGGAGGAAAAGGAAATACATGATGACTGAGTACCACGCCCGCGCCGCCCCCGCCCC